GTTCCTCTTCTGTTTGGAATTAAATCTCAACAATCCCAGTTGTGTGTTCTGAAACCTTCTACTCAAATATCAATGCTGTGTTTACAAGGCTGGGTTTTGCAGTCAGAGTACACAGAGCTTCTGAATTAAAAGCCCTATTCCCTTGCTATATAAACAGAGAAATGTCAATCTAAACACCCATTCAGTTCCCTGAAGTACACTCAGCAAGTGTGACTGATGCGTCTGCAATTAGTTACCGTGCTCTTAATTAAACAGGTAAACGTGCCTGTTTGATGTTTATTAGGGTTTGTGGGAAGACTAAGTAGAAAAACTGAAATGAATCGGTCTCCTTGTAATTGTAAATCAGATTAATACAATCAAAGGCATTATCAATTAGGCAGTGTCGGATGCTTTAGGGGCATATTTTACAAAGCCCTTTACTCTAAACTGTCATGGTCAGGCCTCCCAGGTAACTAAAGAATCATTTTGATGTAATTCCTCATTTACATTTCCTTAAGACTTTCTAACTTAAATATATTCCGGAAGTAAGCCGAGACCAGGCTGATGCTAACGTCTCTCCTCGTGTTGTTCCCTGTCCTTACAAGAAGGAATCAGTTTCGGTATTACAGTCCTTATGAGGATTAAAATGAATCAAATGAATCTCTACAAAGCAGAGTAGAAATGAAACCAAGCCTTTCTGCTTGCAAATCTTCAGAACCTGTCATCTGCATTTTGAAATGCTGTCTAATGTACTGTATTTGCAAATACATGGTAAATTCTCCATCAATGAATAAATCAGAATTGTCATGTAAATATGAACCTACAAATATGTATAGTGGGAGGCACAGTGGCACAGTGGTTTAGCACAGCAGTCTTGTAGCACTGTGGCCCTGGGTTCAATACCTGGGCTATCTGCGTGGAGGTTACATTTTCTCCCTATGTTAGCATGGGTTTCCTATGGTGCTCGGCTTCCTCTCCACAGCCCAAACAATTAGATGGCTTCTGTAAAAAATGTATCTGGTGTGAGTGTATGTGCGCCTGCTCTGCGATGGACTGGCTTCCTGCCCAAGGTTTATCCGGTCTTGCGCCCGTTGCTTATTGGGTTAGGCTCTGGTTCCCCCTGTGACTCTATACTGCATGAAGTGGTTTAAAAAGTGGATGGATGTATAGTCACATGGTAAGCATTACTAGATTTGTGGATTGACAACTCACAAGGACAGTAGTAATATACAGTTTTAGTAATACAGAGATGTCATGCTGGCATTTTCTGTCCCCCAATATTTAGGTGATACTTTGATATATACAGTATTTATATTCAGCTTTCCACGTGTATTTATAACTTCCATTTCAACATGTGGTATGTCATACAGTATATGTATAGAGTCAATATAAACTGGAGTCCGAATGAATTGCATTTTGTATTTTCTGACATGAATTAAACATCACCGGATGAAAAAATGTCTTAGAAATAGAAGTTCACAATCATTTAATTCCACCATACGGACTCTATATAAATTCAAAAGGAAAAATGTCTTTAGCTATTTGTATATAAATTAAAATTATACAATATATTGTATTTCTTCTATAAGACAAAAAAAATATTAGTAGAGATATTTATTGCTACTGCATATTCCAAATGATATCTCTTTGTAGCCAAACAGTGTAAATGTCCATGGTGCAAATTCACAGGTGTAGGTGAGATCCACATCCTCACTGAGGGACAGCAGTTAGTTCAGGTCAGACTTTGTGATTGTAGGAAGGGGCTGGCTTGTCTGGTTGTTTATTGTTTATTGATTTACATTAAATATCTGCTCAAGTATTATTAAAAATATCTACTGTAATCTTCTTTTCATACTGTACGTAAATGTTTAGCTTTTGTACAAGTGCTAGGTGGACTGATGGCCTGATGTTATTGGGCAAACCACTGGAAAAGCGCTGTTAGCCTTGGAAGGTAAAACAGAGTTAATACAGGATGACTTTATTAAGAACTTGGCAAAATGGAAAATAACCTATTGATGAAATGAGTGGGCTACACTAGCCAGTTCCTCATTAGTCGTTGTTTTATATGAGTTCAGAGACTCCTTTCGAAGATGCTTCTCTCCTTAAGACTCAAGGACGTTTCCCAGTGCTGTGAAAATTAAATTGCAGAGATTTACATGAGAACCCAACAAGCACAGCTCTCCGAGGAGCCCTTGTGAACTGCATGCATTTTCTTTCATGAACACTTGCCACTAACGGTCTCCTTTTAGGAAGCTCAGCTCTGCGCTCGCGCCAGGAAACATAGCACTTTGTAAAGAACAGAAAAACATCAATTGCTTTGAGGAACTAAAAAGATCCCACAGGTGTTTGAAGGGGGAATTGCAATCTTTCATTGAAAATGTGAGGGATTCCTGTTTCTAACATGATTACTTGAGAATACAGTTACAAGGAGGTTTTCTTATCTACACCTCGTCTTTCAGTTCACCTGTTGCTTCATTACAGACTTACAGTAATGACATGTCATTCATATTTCAATACAGTATGTTGAGTAATTACATTAAGAGCACCCAAAGGCAGAAGATTTATTTCAGGGGATATTTCAGGTGATAGCTAGCCCAAGCAGAGGCAGAGATCTAGAGATCTGTAAACAAAGTACTGGAGACCAAGACTTCCCACACCTTTCAAAATTACATTATGTTACCTTAGCTAATGGTTTACAGTAACTTTGTCAATTAGACAAAAAAGCATTAATATAGATGATATTGAAATTGGCCACAAATTACCACTGCTTCAACATCTTTATTCTAAAAAAAATACAGCTATATCTATTTTTACTCTAAAAAGTGACTCTTGATGAACTGAACCAGCAAAAGCACCAGTTTGAAAGACAGAAAGGGCCCTCCAGTCTAGAAGGTGCTCATGTGAATTTGGCTCGTGTCTTTAGAAGACTGCCACCAGGCTTCGCCAGAACAGCAGCACAGCTGGCCAGCTGCTGATAAACAAGCAGGGCTGGCTTCCTAGGCATGTGTGAGCTGCATCTCTCCTCTGTTAGCACAGCAGCACTGGGGGACAGAGCTGCAGTGCACTTTTGGGTGAACAGACATATTTTGATAATCTTCTCCAGTCAGCTCCACTGTCCGTTCTGGCCTCCACCATGACATTATCTCTCTCTTATGTAGATGAAGACATATACAGTAAGAGGGCGGAGTGTTGTTATTGTTGAAGAATTCAGTATATTAAACTGCAAACACCTGTCCATCCATCTTCTAATCGCTTTTCGTCTAATGCTGGGTCAGGGGGGACCTTAGCAAGCTACAGGCTCAAGGCAGGGTACACCCTGGACGTGATGCTAGTCCATCACAGGGCAGACACACAGACACAAACACGCACACGCACACACTCACACCAGGGCCAATCTTCCCAGAAGCCAATTAACCTGCCAGCGTGTCTTTGGACTGTGGGAGGAAGCCAGAGCACCTAGACAAATCCCATATGAGCAAGGGGAGAACATACAAACTCCACACATAGAGTCCTCCAGGAATTGCACCCAGGGCCCCAGCGCTGCCAAGCAGCAATACTAACTGCTGTGCCTCCATGCCACCACTACTGTGAACATTAAAAAGTTGAAATGAGGTAATTCTAATGAAAACATAATTCATTTTCATTGAAAGACTCAAGTTCTAATTTAATTTTTATTTTCTTACATTCTCAGAAGGCTTTCTGATAAGATTGTTGGGCAGGAAATTGGTCTACAGGAATGTTCTAACACTAAAAAATCCTCTAACTTAAAATTAACCTTATTAAAAAGATCTAACTATATGTTAGAGCCAAATATGTCTTGCTCCATCTTGAGAGTGTAATGGAATGATGGCAATTATTCTTTCAGAACAAAGTAGAAAATATTTGAAGACAGAATCCCCCATTGTCCCAGAGGAAATGTTTGCTGAATTCTTTTACACATTTAGACAGGGTAGCTTAATCTATATTGACTGACATGGAAGAAGTGTTCCATTGCCTGTTGTCTTTTGTGTCACAACAAATTTTGAGGAATCTCTGCAGTCTAGTATGGGTTCATTAACAGTTAAATGTGCTGCTATTGCTCATTTGAAATAGACTGCACTCTTTTTGATCAATTTTAATTCTCACTTTTTTTGGACAGCCTTCAAGAGTATATTGTAATGTTTAGACTAGACGGTCTGCTGTCATTATGTCTAGAGTCCGACAGGGTTCAATTCTTCACTGTCTTTATCCATTTATTCATCTGAATGCTGCTACTTGGTCAGATTCTCTTTATGTTGGTCATATTATTATATGTTGTGATGGGTATTAACTTCACCAATCTGTGTGCTAACACTGAGATTATTTGCACACTACTTTGATATTTATTTAAGTTTTTCTATTTTTACTGGTTGTAAATTTTAATATTAGATATTAAAATTTGACTGCATTAAAATTTTCACTCCTTAATAGTGACAAGATCTAGGTAATATTTCACACACACTGCATGGTCATTGAACAAGTAGTTCAGCAACCCAGGTAAAAATGTTTGATGTTCTCCTCAACCTCAGTTTCAAGTCTGAAATGTCAGAAATGGTTTGCTTTTTTCACTTGTGTTATAGTGCTCATTTATGACCTGTCCTACTCAAATACAGAAGCTAATTCATGCCTCTGTTTTCTTTCGGATAGACTGGTGTAATACGTTGGTTGCTGGAATTTCTAAATATACTATCAACCGGCTGCACTATATTCAAAAGAAAACTGCTAGGCTACAATCATATTACTGCTGAATCACTAGTATTCTTGCATCGATTTCTTGTAAGGTTTGCAATTTATTTTAAAATCCCCCCGAATTATAACGCCTTCAATAATCTGTCTACCTCTACCTCAAACACTATCTGAGTGATTGGATTTTGGTTTGCTCTGTGTAACCATAATAAGTGCTAGGGTTGTCTGTAATTCTCTAAACTATTGCATTTTCTTCCGGAGGATATGTGCCCAGACTTTGTGTACCTCTTTCAGTTGTCGTGCTCTTGTATCACCAGGTGTCCAGAGAGCTGCCTGAGAAGCAGAAGACGACAGAAGCCCTGCTGAAGGAGTTGGTACAATTCCAGCAACATCTCAACCAGCTGGCTTTTTGGGCCTCAACTACAAAAGACCAACTAGAACTCTACCTAAAAGTGGGATTACCAGGGGCTTTTGACACAAAGGTAATCACAGATACAGAGCTTATAGACTGTCTACACACCTGTTCCCAAATAACTCATATTGTGGCCTAACAGCCTGAAATCAAGACAGACTCAATCAGAAATTATTATTATCTCTTTTTACACATTGTAACGCATGAACTCCAAAGAAATGCCCCATGCATTATACTGTGGTATTAAATATGCTACCACAATATTTTACATGTTGAAAAATCTAAAGCTCCAAAGTGATATAAGTATATCTGAAGTACTGTATATTTCAAGTTCACAATATGAGGTTATTATTATTAATATGACATTACAAAAACTTAAAATTCCATCCTTGTAGATAATCAATACAGCCTATCAATTATGAAAGTGAAAAGTACTTTTATCCAATGGTTTCCAGCTCACGGTGTCTACCGGGTTTTATTCAAACCAAGCTTTATATCAGTAGTACCAATTTAAAGCTCTACTTGACAAACTTTTTTCTTTAGATCTCTAGGTTGCTTGTTCATGAACTCAGTCCTACATGAAGCAGAAATACCTTCCTTCATAGATACTATTTACAACAGCTTCAGCTGATAGGATTTTATAATGAAATTTCCTCAATTGACTTACCTCTATGACAATCTGGAGAGCTATTAATAGATTATCAATGTAGGCTGAATAGACACAAGTGGAAATGACAGTGTGTGAGATACTTCTACAATGACATTTTTTTCCTTTTAAAAATGTCCATTTAGTTACATGACAGTCGGAAGATCAGAAACTCGGGAACTTTCACAGGGTTGATACCATTAGAAATCCCCTTCAACATTATAGTAGCTGAAGGCAAATTAAAAAAAAATCCCCAAATGGAAAGCTGTAGGCTGACATGGTGTCACAATGGTTAGCATTGCTACTTCACAGAGCTGGGGCCCTGGTTCAATTACTGGGGTGCCATCTGTGTGGTGTTTGGATGTTGTTACGAAGCGTTCTTCAGGACCCTATGCAGACAGCACAATCTGGAAGGGAGCGAACAGACACAGGGAGGAGACAAGGAGCTGGGCTGGTTGACGAACAGGGGGGCGTGACAAGTGTGCACTAGTGCTCAGGGGGGCGTGGTCCATGCAAACAAATCTGAGGGAATCAAGGGGGAAAACCAAGGCGAAGTCCAAAAGTCCAAAAACCAGGATATCGAGAAGAGACAACACGACTGTCACGCCCTCTGCAGCCAGAGGGCGCTCCTTCTCTGTCCTGTCCCTAGTTTCCGGTCTGCTGTCCTTCCTGTCCCTCTCTTCCTTGGGCTATATATTTCAGGGTCTTGCACTCTGTCCTGGCTCAGCATTGATGTTCGGATGTCCTGAGACCCGCCTAGCACCAGGGCGCCCCACGTCCGCTCCCTGAGGGCATAGGTTTCTATACGGCATTCCTGAACTCTTTGCACTAATGAGCCCGGGCCTTTTTCCCGTCTCGCCGCTACGCATATGGGTCTTTTTCTGCTCTCCTGCTCACCACGGTTAGTCCCTTTGGACGTCCGTGACAACGACAAAAGTTAAAAACCGGAGAGGGATCCAGTGGAAGGACGGGGAATAAAAACGTGTAAAGGGACCAGGCGCTCCAGACTGGTTCAGGATGCCGATAGGAGGCCTATGCCCTCGAGCCACGGACTTGGGCAACTCGGTGGTAGGTGGGCCTCCGGGCATCTGGGTTCCAGTACAGAGCCCCGAACAGAGTGAGCGTCTGGCTTGTAAGGTGGGCTGAATAGGTGCACAAAATCAACTAAAATGTGAAAGAGCCGGAGAACCCTTAAGAGGGAGGGATTACAATCGTGACAGATGTTCTCCCTGTGTTCACGGGGTTTTTCTCTGGTTGCTCCGTTTTCTTCCCACAGTCCAAAAATATGCTGGTAGGTTAATTGGCTTCTGGGAAAATTGGCCCTGATGTGAGTCTGTTTGTGTCTGTGTGTGTGCCCTGCAATGGAATGGCGTCCCATTCAAGGGTGTATACTGCCTTGCACCCATTGCTGGCCAGGATAGGCTTCAGCTCCCCTCTGACCCTGAATTGGCTGAAGCTCTTACAAATGGGATGTAATGGACGGATGGAATATGAAATCAATTAGCCTGTGATTAGGAGTGTGGCTGGAGCAAAAACTAGAAAACACAGTGGTCCCAAAGGCAGGCCGTATACTGTCAGGCATTCTCGTAGTAGCTCTTAGTGCTTCATGTGACCAATTAGGTAAATCCAACCAAGTCATTGAAACAGCAAACCTAAGTGAAAGGAGAGCTGATACCGAGCATTTGGTACAGGTTTCACGTTAATTTCAAATTTTGTTCAACTATGTAAGATCTGAAAGCTTTTTAAAAATACAAGAAAATACAGTAGTTCAAATTAAGAGCTTAATGAACCAACAAATTTCAGTTGGAATGGAAACCAGGAGGGTAATTCCAAGAAAGGAGATGGAGTGTGTATTCTTAATTATCCTTCACAAAGAGCAGTATTATGTGAGGGAAGCCAGAAGAAGACCACGATTATCAATTACAGGAAAAGTAATAGCTAAAAAACACAACAGTGGTAATATACAGTAAGAGATCAACTGAAAGACAAGGTGGGATCAATTGTTCAAATGTCCAAGGCTAATTGTTTCCTATCTAACACTCAGCTTGACTCTAATTTAGAATTTACATTCAATCTCACACTGTCCAACCTTGTTCAAATGACTAAACTGTCATGGTTACCTGAGAGCAGGATGCCATGATGTCATCTTTAAAAGAGGTTTCTCTTAGGAAAAAACAGACAAATGCAGCTGTCAAGTGAAAAAACAGTGTTCTTTATTTTATAGTAAAGTAAAGAAATAATCAAACTAAAAGCCACAATAAAACAAAAGCCTAAGCTCCTCTTTGAGCTCCAACTAAGCATCTTCCTGTTCCCTTTCTTCAACAACTAGACAGTTAAGCTGCTTACATGCAGCTGTGGAAGTTTCTTCCAAAACTCTCATAGTCTCACTCTGAGGCTCTACCAAAAGTTCACTCATCGAATGCTTCCTTCCCTTCTCCATTGATGCAACAACCCAGAGGATCTGATATCTTCCCCAGACATCAGATGTAAATAAGCAACCTGGAAGCCTTGGTTTCCTGTTTTAAAATGTCACCCGACCAATCGTCTTCTAACATGTGAGGTAATTTCCTGTCACCTCCTTACAATATGTCTTTCAATCCACCTAACCATGACTTAGTCTAGACATGATTTTGGCATATTCCAGTCTCAATCTGTCTTCCAAAAATATTTTGTAATATTTGTTTTTCTGCTATTTTGCTATATTGATTGAAGTGAATGTTTTGTTCAAATATTAATTTAATCAATGTTTTTTATGACTGACAGAAAAGTCTGTCTTTTAACATGAGAAAGTTGCTAGAGAATGCTAAAGAAGGTTGACTTCCAAGGTTGGAATTTTAGAGTCTTCTTCTTTTCTGAGTAAGTTCAGGTCTCTGTTGCAGACTTTCTTTATTATTCATTTGATCATCGTTGGAAATGAGATGTTCTGCTGAACTGAGAAACCATTGATTGAATTTCTGATTACCTGTAAGCAAAGAAGAGTTAAGCAAGATAACATAACTTCTACTTGTTCTTAAGGATTTTCAAGCGAGAGAGCAGTGAGTTAATGATGAGTTTTACCTTTGAGACAATGAAAAAAAGAAGAAAATACACTTTAGAATGTTATCCTTACTTAATGTAATACCTCTATATGTAATGCAGTACACAGTCATGTAACAAATGTATGGTTTCACAGTACTGCTTCTCTTTTTCACATTTGTTTCTGTGATTTGTGTTAGTTGCTTTTGCTTCTGGACACTGGGGATGTCTGACATGGCAAAGTAAACTTTTTCTTTCTGCATCAATATGTTTTTCCCCCCTCACAACCACAAAAGGCCAATAAGTGTATAACACAATCACATTATGCTTTTTAATTGGCTCCAACAATTGAAAAAAAATACTCACTGGGTAATGTCATCAAGGACACCAAGTACTTGTGCAGTACAAACTGGATTGCTCAGTTAAGAATAACCTATTGTAATCAGCAGTCAACTAGGAAGTTCACAAATCCAGCCAGACCATCAGACAGAACACTTGCATACAGTACATGTGGAAACACAACAGGACAATTTAGAGATGCCAGTTAACACAGCAGCTGTGTGCTTGAGCATGTGAAGGAAACCCACACAAACATAGGAGGCATCCTAATCTAAATTTGGACCCAGGAATTCTCAGGCAAAAGAGCTAAACAGCCACACCACTGGGTAAAACTGAGGTCAAAAAGTTTCAGGACAATCTGTGTGTTTTATGATCTTTGTCTCACTGTTCTTCCAGCCACTGTTCATCACTGTTCATTTCATTTAAATTGTCAACCTTAGCAAACATACAGTAAGTAAAACGAAAATAAAAACAATCAACTCATTGCAAATAACCCCTTTCAGGCTGGTTTCAGACATTTACACAGCACACAAACTGCCCTCGTTAAAATTACTAACTGATGGCAGCTGATTCAAGTGCTTTATCTATCCTGACTTTTCTAGACCTATAGTAAGTGCTGCTTCTGACACTCTTTTTCATTATATTTTACTCACCTGTCTGGAGACTGTGTTTGGAGTTCTGACATTCCATTTCAGTGGTATCCCACTATGCTGAATCACAAATGACACACAATGTTTTCAAATAATTAATCAGATACTCATTTATTAGTAATTTTAATCAAAATGTGAATGTTCAAACTGAAAAAGGTAAACAAAAATCAAGAAAAAATGTGATTCTTAAAAACAAACGAAGCAAGTCACTACTAGAGCTGATTCACTGAAGTCTGTAAACAAACTGTATTTAATTAAATATCAGGTAAATGATCATGATATAAACTACTCCATTTACTCCAAACTGTCATGGAGAGAAGGAAGAAGAGGGAGGTGAGGGAATTTAAGTCCAAGAAAATGCACAGCATACATTCCCCTGAAAGAAAATTCCACTGAAAATTTTCCCCTGAAAGTAAATACATCATATCAAGTGTTAATTAAGAATTACTAGTACTTCATTTCTGCTCACATTGCTTTCCATGGGAAGGTGTGAGTGAGTGTATAATAAATCTGGACTTTTATGAAACTCAATGTAAAGATATTAACTCAGTAATTGTTATTGATAGATAGTTGCTGTTCTTGCAGGAAACTGAGGACTCTGTGCAAGCCAAACAAGCAGATGTGGAAGCTATCCTGTCGAGAGGTCATCAGCTATACAAGGACAAACCAATCACTCAGCCCATAAAGGTAATGCATCTTTTCGCAAGGGAAAAAACAAGGTACCATGTGTGTGCACCTGAGCTACTCTGCACTGTACACCTTTCAGACTTTCCAATCAATCAGCACTAATCAAATAACAAGTTCATGGCCATTTACTTTCACTAAACATTATAATTATCATTGGGCATAATGATTAAAGCCTAGGCCTTCATTTTCCTGTCTGGGTGTGCACACTATGCTTGAAACAGCATGGCATTGAGCTGCACAGTGATAATTATCCCAGCAGCTACTCATTGATGTTATTCTTTGTTTGTTTATCAATTATGCAGCAGACAAGGTGGGTGGCTCATTAGCTTGGGGAGATCATCAAAGAAAGTCCACAGGTGATTTACGCAGGGGGTCACAAAATTACACAGATGATGGTATGCTCCAGTCTAAATCCAGTTACACTCACAGTTTTATGAGAAATGCAGCCTTGTAAAAGTTGTTCAAAAAGGGATACGCAACCTCAACAAAAGACTGAATATAATTTCAATTGTCCTGCTCTGCCTTAAAAAATGTAATAGTGACTCATTCAACAGTCTTACCCTTGAGCTTATTTGGAAAGTATTGTAAAATATGGTCCATTGTAAATATCAGAAAATTATGCTTTCAGTTTCTTTATATACAGTACACTTCAAATAGCACAGATGAGATTTGCAGTGCGGTGTATCATCTGAGAATCGGTGCGAATTGCTCTTATTCAGCAGCTGCTCACAGTTAAGGAGGGTTGGTCTGGGAGGCTCATCCACGATTTCAGTCACCGCTGGGATCCATTCTTCCAAATGGAATGGATGGCCCTGGGTTTTAGACCTGGTCCATGACATTCTTTTCTTCCTATCCAACTTCTCCTTCACCTGAAACTCTGTGATACCTGCAGTAGACTTTTCTTCTGTTTGAGACAGTCCTGGACAATAGTCTACCATGAAATGGTGCACGTCTTCATTTTGGCCTTTAGGATATCCTTGAATCACTTTCTCTGAGAGAATATCTGGAGTCAGGTCTTCTGAAGATAAGACTACCCAGTCAAGTTGATATTGGAAGATCATCAACTCAATCCTCCTGGTGTTTATTTGAGAGAGGACAGTAATGATGGTGCATATGCTCTCCAGCTGTTTTCAATAATAATTGATTTCATTTACATGTCTACTCCTGTCTTATCCAGAATGATTATAAAACACTTTATACAGAGCTGTAGACCCACTGGACCAACCAAACCCACACAACACAGCAGATATTTGGAGAGGTGATGAAGTGCTTCAAAAGATATTATCCCTGAGCAGCTGTTGTGCTTATAATTAAAGTAAGAGGGGCGTTCAAGATGTTAGGTAGGCAAGAATTTGCTGGCTTAGAATTGTATTTCAGTAGCACCCAGAGGATTACGTCGCTAGTATTTAGTAAGCTTGAGAAGTGCCATGGGATCTTTAAAGACCAAACAGTAAAAAATCTCATTTTAATATCTCTTAAAGCACAATGTCCTGAGTCACCATACAAGGGCATTAATTTGGAAATTCAGATCCAGAGAGAAGAGTGCCTCCTACTATCCCACCCACACCAATTACAGTAGAAAATAGTTTGCCTTTAGAAGTCACTCATCCCAGTGGTGACCAAGCCCAATCTTACTTGGCTTCAGAGGTCCATAGGCAGTAGTGATGGTACTTTGATTGTGTGGTAGGGTGAGTTATGTCCATATCTCAGTGCCTTACAGTAGGGCTGGGAATCCAACTGCTGATAAACCATGATTTTGGTTTTAGGTCTGATTTTGTGTTCTTCAAACATTCTTTTCCTCAGGCAAGCAGAAGCTGAGCTTGCACATATGACTTGATGCATTTCTTTGTTAATGTCAGCTTTCTTTGAGCAATAGATTTTGAGCTGGAAGGAATGTTCTCCAAACTCTCACTATGAATCTGAATTGCCAGAGATGGAGACTGCTCATTGTGAGCTTCTTGATGGAGGACATTAATCTTCTGAGTGTTTTACTCATAAGTTTCAGTAAGGATCAACAGTTCTGAGTTAGCAAACAGTACAGCATCATCAATCTACTGGAGCTCAATGACTTAAGTCGTTGCGTTAGAGTTGGCTGAGGTTAGCAGCTTACCATCTATTTGGTAGTTTAGCTCCTCTGTGACTGTAAGTTGTTCATGGTTAGATGTAAAGACACAGACTTGCATGCCTCCTGTTGTAACATGTTGTAACAGAGAATCTGATGAATGAGAATCACTGCTCCTTCTATTTTATAGAGCAAACTGATATTGGTGAAAAATTACAAAGGGAATCCATATTTCAGAAATTTCTTCCAAATCACTACATCATTAACAAACAGCTAAGGCATTGGTGAGGTCAGAGACGAGCATATAGAGAGGTGTACAGTATTTTGTTCACAACAAAACAAGAGTGTAGAAGGAACTATTAATTTATATTGGAGTGTTCTCACTTTTACTTTTCATTTTTTCACAACAAGGCAATTCTTCAGTAATTTCCAGTCAGATTTATCTTCCTTCTTGAAGATTGTCACAATCATGATCTCTCTGTGGTCATCTGGTATTTCTCATATTTCTTTTTTATACCAGTTTATGAAGAGGAGAGCTTGGAGCTTAGATGTTACTTCATCAAAGGTTGGAGCAATGCTCAAAGGTTGAGGAATGGAGTTGAGAACACTCTAATCAAAAACAGAGTCTCAAGTGAAAAGGTCTTCATAATCATTTCTCCAGGGATAGGTTCTTGGTCAAACTGTAGATGGCTTTTCTGTCCCTAAAATGGTCCCACAGATTTTGAATATCAGTGAGATATGGAGTCTTGTCTTAGCAGTTCATCAGTTTTTTAATATTAATATACCTATATTTATATCTTAATTTTTTATTAATTTATTAATTTATTAATTGTATTAATTTTTGCTTGAATATTATGGTGTTCAGAAGGCCTTGGGCTTTTGGCCTACAGTATAAACTCAAAGACTTTCAACAAAATAGTATTTATGTGTCCTAGTTGTTTAACCTAAGTTTAAGAGCTCTGAAGATGGTGGACCTGAGGGCTACCAATCTTCCACTGTTGCTGGTTAGAAATGGAGACACTGAAGGAAGCAGTCTCTCTGGTCTGGGTGAATCCTTCTACAGTGTGTTATCTTCAGCCAGCACTACGTTTGCATCAACTGTCATCTGAAAGAAGTTTTTTTCATTGTTAAAAATGCTCGCTATACATTAAAGACTCCATGGAAACTGCAGTTCAGTAATGAGAGATAATTATTAACTCAACATTGTAAGCGCAACACACCCAGACTATAAGTAAAACTGCCTACTCTGTTCAGTCTCAGCTCAGCGGGCTGGGTTATTCCTCACCTCATTTTGCACTTTTTGTCAACAGATATACAGTTGAAAGTGAAGTCCTTATGGGTCGACATCTACAGTGCAGCACACTGTTGCTCTTATTCCCCACCATAATACCATAATGACACCCGTCAATAAACTGAGATTCGGTTTAGAGCTGAATACAGTGCAGGCTGTGCTGCCAACCAAGCAGCGTCCCATTTAAAGAGGTGACCTTCCCAGAGCCTCTGCTCTCCAGCTCCTGAAATCTACTCACTGCCATTGCATCCATCTCTCCTGAGAAAGCAGCTTATCCACGGAAAGGACCATGGCAACCCGGAGCCTGTCCCCAGAGCACAGGATGCACCAAAATGCTAACTACAGTCATGTGAGAAAAAGCATACAGCACGGGCTCTTGCTTTTGACATTAGAACTTTTTCTTCAAAGTTCGCAGTCCTATTTAATATACCTGCCCATCATTATTAGAATTCCTTTTCTGATAAATGTCAAGCGATAGATGCTTTGACTGTGTTTCAGATTATATTTGCCAATTTCACATCATTAGGCCTGAATAACTTAACTGCGCTGCCAAATCATACCGTTCGCTCCCCTGGTGTCAGTGCGTTTGCTTCACCGCTTTATTATTTCTGATTTAATGAAATCCATTTTGGTACCCCGACATTTGTTCCCTAGTTTTTGCATAATGTAATTGCCATGGACAAGAAGACAAGAGGTCAATTACAATCTGCCAGCTACCATTTCCTCCGATAAGACTGTGAAATGACAGCATCATTAGTCATTTTTTTCACTTACAGTCACTCACCGTTAGGCACGGTAAATTTGCACCTTGTGAAATATTTTCTCCATATTTTCAACTTTAAACCCATTTTTGTTTTACTCCATCTAGAATTTATTTTTACTTTCCCCCCTTCAGAAAATCACATACTGCATAAAACACTCTTATATCAAGAGTGATGTCAAACTCAACAAAAGTACTAATTCAGAGAAACCAGTAAGTCACACTCATCATCTCATAAAAACAGTTTTAAACTTGGCACTCCTTTTGTGATTATATTTAAAATTAAAATGCCATTTAAAATATTTTTAAAGAGATTCAAACAAAAAAAACACCAGTTTCAGGATGTTGTTTTATTGTACAGGCTTTGACATTTATTTTGGATCCAAATCACAGTCACTGTATTGGTAACCACATTAGGATTTCAGGTGTGATATTTATTTCCTCAGGATACTACAACCAAAAAAACAAGAATCAATCATCAAATGTGCACGTTACAATACTTATTGTTGTGTGCCAGGTGGGGTATCTCTTTCATAGGGATTGATTTGTAAAACCAAGTAGTTTTTGAAACTATGGTCTCAAGTAGTTGTCTTCAAGAGGGAATACTTCCTCAGACAGAACTCAGTTTACACTGTTATGTACAACAAGTTGTCTATTAGCAATGCTGAATGATTGTGTGTTGTAAGTCGGTTGAAGTCTCCAGTGGCATATGGTGTTATTTTGCCTTCGTGGGCATTTAAACCACATTTAAATTAATCATTCAAACAAGTGCTAGATTATGACTAGTGTTTGATGGCTTGGGCCCATGTGATGAGTCTGGAAACAGAGTGGGACACAGCGTAAATGTAGTGCTTTAGGTCCTTCCCGACTGGGCACCTTGAGGAGCGTATAGAGTATATCAGTATAATATCCTTGACAGTGTTGACTGTGTATCTCATTCTGTTTCCTGCAAGCTGCACAAATAATACAATCACATAAGTAGCGCAAAAGCTTTATGTTATCTTAATTCATTTATCCACAATGTAATTTAAGAAGTTCACTTTCCTCATGGTAGTAAATGATAGGCTTTTTGCGTCCATGTGTGTTATTTTAACACTGTAATGGATCAGTAAAACTCTAAAAGTCAGAGATATGTAGGAATGAGATTAGTTTTAATTGCTTTTTTCCATGATGATTCCCGGATTGGTATTATCTTGGCCTCTTCAGGCAGATTCTCCTTCTCTGATGGGAATTGGCCGTTATTGAGTTTCAGTTAATAAATACAGATACTTTATTATCTGGTGTCTGACAAAACAATCAGGGATTACATTTACTGTTTATTTATATGTAATTGAGGTTCCATAAAGACGGAATTTGTTTGTTTATTGAATTCCCTTGTGCTACATAGTGTGAAGAAAACTTCACGATCATTTATTTTCACATTTAAATTTCGAGTCATTGTTGGCTCAACAATACTTCAAGAAAAACTTTTTTTTTAATTTCAATTACTTTACAAATATTCCTGCTGTGGTTGAATTGCTCTGCAAAAATGTACAAAACATTATGAGAAGGTAGTGGCTTTAGACCTGACAATCGAGAGTGGTGCTAAAGTTTTGATTTTTCAAAGTTTTGTGTTGTTTGAAAAGCTGCTTTGAACTAAAAAGTCCACAGGTGAAAAGTACAGCCTGATGTACTACAATGCAACTGTCGGAATGGAACAATGGAGCTGTAGTTCACTGTAAATTATATACAGTACAGTATAGTTATGCCATTTACTGTATACCCATCCATCCTTTTTCTAATAGCTTTTTCCAATTCAGGGTCGCAGGGGACCCTTTCTCAGCAAGGCAGTGGCTGCAAGGCAGGATACAGAGACACAAATACGCACACACACTCATACCACAACTAATTGCCCTGAGTCCAATTAATAATAATAATAATAATAATAATTGCTTACACTTATATAGCGCTTTTCTGGACACTCCACTCAAAGCGCTTTACAGGTAATGGGGACTCCCCTCCACCACCACCAATGTGCAGCATCCACCTGGATGATGCGACGGCAGCCATAGTGCGCCAGAACGCTCACCACACACCAGCTATCAGTGGGGAGGAGAGCAGAGTAATGTAGCCAATTCATAGAGGGGGATTATTAGGAGGCCATGATGGGGTAAAGGCCAGGGGGGAAATTTGGCCAGGACACCGGGGTTACACCCCTACTCTTTTCGAGAAGCGCCCTGGGATTTTTAATGACCACAGAGAGTCAGGACCTCGGTTTTACGTCTCATCCGAAGGACGGCGCCTGTTTACAGTATAGTGTCCCCGTCACTACACTGGGGCATTAGGACCCACATGAGCCGCAGGGTGAGCGCCCCCTGCTGGCCCCACTAACACCTCTTCCAGCAGCAGCCTTAGTTTTTCCCAGGAGGTCTCCCATCCAGGTACTGACCAGGCTCACACCTGCTGAGCTTCAGTGGGTTGCCAGTTGTGAGTTGCAGGGTGATATTAACATACCAGTATACTTTTGGACTATGGCAAGAAACCAGATCACCCAGAGGAAACCCCCACACAAACACTGGGAGAACATACAAAGTCTATACTGATAGAACCCAAGTCTGGAATTGAACCTGGGGCCCCAGCGATGCTGACCGCTGTGCCTCTGTGCCCCCCTCCATTTATACCCTTTTTCATTAAAATAGACCCAGGTTTGTTCAAGGATCCTCCTTATTTCTCTAATAAGCTCCTTGTGAACTGTATATTAGTTCTGCAACCTTATTGTACAACTTAGGCGTAACAAGGAAGAAGTCACAAAGGCAGGCAACATAATTCAATACTATTAATTTAAACATATTTTAAGGATTTGTGAGGTTTTTTTTCTAAAAGCAGCAGCAGCATTCAAATATCACGGAAGCCAGGTGACACTGGTGATGAGCTCCCTTCTGAGGTTCGATGAAAATGTCTCCCCTGAACCCTGAGACCATGTTCTCAGCCTCGGAAGTGGATTTCATGATGACATGCATCAGGAATCGATTGAAAATGATGTCTCTGGCCTCTGAACTGTCCCCGTGAGGACGAATGTGCTGAGGCTGGTGACCAAAGATCAAATGCTCCTGCAGCTCTTTCTGACCTGTACCTCTGGCCAAGGGGAAAACAGAAAGAGTTTATGCTGAAGTGGCCTGTGTGAAATTAATCATAACCCAACTAAAGTGATTTTCATCACACGTTGACTTTTTTTTTTTACAATTTTGTTGTTGTTGCTTTATCGTGCCACCTTGTTAGGACACAGCCTGCCCATTTTTGCCAATAGTCCATGGGTAACAAATGTATTGGACCAGTGGGCCAGAACTGTTAGACGAATGGGCTGTCAGAGGAATAAGCTGTCTGAAAAACAGACATACTGCAGACATAGAACGTGGTGGAGTGATCTGCAGCAATGACAGGACGTGTATGGCTAAAATAAGTCTTTCATGATTTTGGATGACGTTTGTGGTGAAGGCCAGAATGTGCATTTTAATTTCACCTGCCACTAATTACTGTATAAACCGAGTTATAAACTGGTGTGTTAGAAGGTATGCCTACAAATACTTCTGTTCTGCTTCTGAATTTCTTCCTAGTATCAAAATCCCTGGGTTGGAAATAGTTTATAATTGCAACTTTTCTTTTTTCTTATAATAAAGATTATATGTATTGTCAAAAATGGTACTAACTGATATATCAGATCGTTGTTTAACCATTTTTATTTGCTTGTAATTCAGTAAATCTGCTTTTATCACATTGAATTTAATAGAACTTTTCATTTGTCAGTTACATGTTTATTCGCTACTTTCACTGTCTTCTAATTTATTTATCAGTTGTATTCATGGTGGCTTTCACAATGTACACAAGATTCTCAATACAATCATTATTACTTATTAAAACAATTAATTTTTGTACTTTTGTAATTATGATATACTTAATAGTTGAGAGAAAAGTAATGTAAATGTCAAAGAATGTGGTACAGATATCTGGGTATGTAATATTTCTCTGTCATTGATACCAGGTTAAGCTTGAAGACCTCAGTTCAGATTGGAAAGCAATCCACATCCTGCTCACACAGTTCAAAGGCAAACCCGATCCCAGTGCAGCTGGTGAGTGATCCTGGTTGTTATTTTTGTTGCTGTGATGGTGTGTTATTCCTTAAAGATTGGTGAGTAAAATATATTTCTGTGATTCTTTAACTAGTGGGTTTTAAGTGCTTTGCACAAAGCTGAAAGATAAACGTTCCAAGTTTTCTGCTGTGTCAGAACACCCCTGATTACAGTGTATTCTGTTGGTGCTGCAAGGAACTTACTTGGTTTTGTAAGGAACTGCAGGTGACATTGTAAAACTTCTAATGACATTCATTAAAAAGGCAGGAAACATGAACAGAAGTAGAGAACAATTGGGAGCAGCAAATTTAATCAAACCTCAATGAGCAATCTGTTGCTGTCATTAAAATGAATGTTACCATAAGTGCAAAAACTTTGGAGTCCAGTCCAGAAAAGCTTAATGGTGACTTTCAGGCTAATTTTGACAGATGTTCCCAAGTTTTTTTTTATTCATGTTAACTGTAACAGTCTGTTATGTGAAAGAACACTTAAAAAGTATAAATGTATGAGGTGAACAAAAGTTAATAAGCTACGTTTTCAAAACAACCTTTTCAGCCGTTTTTTTTAAATTAAAGAATAGTATTTTACCTACTGTAAAGTATGTAAAACATATTTTAATCATTGTTTTTTTAAAGGTTTATTCCAATGTTGTGGTTGTGGAACTAACTGAAAGTTTATTTAGCCAATATGCAGGGAACTGTACAGTTTTTTTGTCTTTATCCCACTAGGTAAAGCTTTGTGATAAATTATTTCTATTCTCTTTCTAATACATGTTATTCACAAAAGGGCCTTGGGAACTAATGTGAAGAACTACAATGAGCTCTGTCCTTTGCATTTGGTAGTTGGATGGCAAAAGTTGAGTGGTTATAATGATACATACGGTAGTGTCTATTAGCCCTCATTCAAACGTGAATTTTATACGACGTTGTAAATCTAAGAGTGTAGTAACACCAAACTAGGTAAAGAAGAAGAAAAGAAGAAAAATATACTGTTTGCTGTCTTACCTGAAAACAAGACCTGTTTCTAATTGTTTTATAATTATTCTCCCTTAAATCACAGCATACTTTAAAACAGTGATAGCTCTTTATGCAGCTCTTCAGCTAATAATGCAGCATGCCACATACTGCATTTGCATTTTCATTTCCACTTTTCTGGTGTTTCTTAGCTATCTTTTTTCAATTAAATGTGGCTTACTAATCTCTCTCATAGCTATTATGTTAGAAGGCAATCCGTGGAATTATGTTGAATACATTTTGGGAAAAACCATCAAAGTGTTCTCTGCTTATTGCTTAAGGCAAACGTATGCGTCCCTCATGCATAGAATGCTTTTAGAGTTTGGAGAAAAATAACATTAATAAGCAGAAGGTAGAGAAACTAATCTTGCTAGTGTGTTTTACAGTTCTGAATTTAAAAAGTTTTCTGAATGTTACTGAAGTTGCAAGTTGAGCAAATAAGATGTCAAGTATGAACGGTATAAAATGTATCTGTAAAGAGCAACAGATATGCAGTGGTATTCTTAATTTGGGAGCTGCATATGGAATGAATAATGCAAGAAGTATAGGCACTGGATTCTGTATTTTTATTGATATCTTACACAATTTATCTGCACTTTGGTTTATCACCAATACCAATAAGAAGCAGAACAAATAGGAGTGAAGGACCCATGAAGCCATATTAAATTTTGTTTCTGGTTTGTTTATGTAGTACTGCTGGACATTCTCAAAACAGAAATGTATGAATTCAACAGATCTTTTACGTATATACGTCTGTTTTGGGCATATTAGCTTACATTATAGTTCATTACAAATTTTAATGAAATAACACTGAGGGATGGCACACAGGATAATGAAAATGTGTTGGCAGAACAGGAGTATGCTTTTTTTTTATTGCTCCCTGTTTAACATCCTGTGGTGGTACTCTGAATTCAATCTCTCACCGTTTGATTGGAGATGTTTCAAGGTCAAGACCCAGTTTTGTGCAAAGTTTTATTTTGCACTGAGGCTGACAGACACAAGCTGAAAGACAAACTTGTCTAATAAAGCTTTCAGATTCAATTTGCTAGCTGCACATAGGCGGGGAATATCTCTGGAGGTCACCCTCAGCGTGTGCTGTGGTGCCAGCTGAGAGCATTATTAAAAACAGACGAGCCTTAAAATTGACATTGGGCCTCTGAGACCCAACAGGTGTATTAATATCATTTGAAGAGTTTGTCGATAACACCTATTTACACAGGAGACTCGCTTGTGTTGTGCTGTATACGCAGTTATGTTTCTCTAAAAGAACAGATGGGAGGATTGATAGAGTGGCATTTTGACAGAAGGATATCATTTAAATCGTTGTCAGGAGAGTGATTTTTACAATTCAGGATGTGACTAATTATTTTTCAAAGACTTTATTTAGCTGGCATAAAAAATGCAAATCATAGGTCGTTGACTTAAATGTTTTTACAGATTTGTACAAATAGGAAACATCAACACAAGCTAAAAACAAGACACCACTCTCATCTGCATTATGAAAATATATAACATCATTCCACATTTTCAAAAGGGGAATCTCATGTTTTATTCCAAGCCTGGAACTTCCACAGAGCTGAACACAGATAGACATGCAAATAGACTGTCCTTTTTTATTTCAATACAATTTCTTTAGTTTTAGAGTCTTCTTTAGTTTCTTTAGAGTGTTTTTCAAAAAATATTAAATAGTGTATATATGCCAGCCACTTTTATTGTTTTATTGCTTTGATGGAAAAATCCAGTGTAAAAACTATAATGAAACTTATTTTCCAGTGTTATGGAACAGTTGTTTACTACTTGGTGATCAGTGACTTGGTGATTGGTGATCATATGTAAAACGCGGCTGGCATTCATTGTGAATTCACAAACATCTCTAAATATCTATGTCTCTTTTTTGTGTGCAATGTATTTGTATGCATTATGTTTAAATGTCTTGACTTGGAAGAACGATGAAATGTGTTGATGTGGCCTAAATGTGTATCCACACAAGAAATACTCAAACACTGGAAAGAAACACTGTAATTAAAAGCACCTCAGATGAATTGCCTATTAAAGGTACATTAATATCATGCATGTGCTGTGAAAAGATTTGACACAGTAAGTTGCACTACAAAACTGAATTGTTTTTGTACCTGGTATTTACTGCAGACATTCATCTCTCATTGGCTCAGCACTCAGTCACCTGAAACTGCTGGAGTACCTCATTTCAAACCTGTCAAATATGTTTTGTTGAGTATTGCAGTTTTTTCCACCTCTACTTTCTGTTATTATACATTGAACCGTGATATTTTATGACGTTGAATGCACATCAGAAGCGCAGAGACCTGCCATATGAAAAGCTGTGCCAGATGTTAAGCTCTATGCTGATCACTGTAGACAGAAACGGTGCTCTTTCTGATGACATGGTCTATTTGAGGAGAACAAAAGGGCTGCTACTTATTTCACATTTGCCAAATATCTTACGAGAACAATAAACCGTTCTCCGGCTTTCGGGTGTGGTCATCCTAAATGGGCAGAATCCAGATAAAACAAAGAAAGCTACAGTACCTTTGCAAAAAGTTGTTTGTTCTTTTTGGGCTTAAATCTGCACTGCAATCGTGAGGGGAAATGTAAGGTTTGAATTTATTTTAATGAAAGCACGATGTTGATACCCACATTAAATGAGCATGAACACTGTGAAATAACTTTCTTTTATTCTTGTTCTTTTACATTAGAACGTATTTGAAAAAAAATATTTTTAAAAGACCCTACCGAAGGTAATGGGCCATTGTAGCTAATGGATAGAACAGTGTAACCCGGACAATCTCTAATAGTTCTCTTTCAAGTAAGGTAACTAAGTGATTACGGATATAAATGACTTGTAACCTGTTCTTTCCTAATGTAATTAATTCTTTCCTTCAAATTGCTTCTATAGGTCAAACAGTTACCGTAGTGACACAGACCCTGGTTACCAAGGAAACCGTTGTCTCTAAGCTGGAAATGCCATCTTCTCTGCTCATGGAGGTACCGGCCCTTGCTGACTTCAATAAGGCTTGGGCTGAACTCACCGATTGGCTGTCTCTTCTGGATCACATGATCAGAACCCAGATAGTGACTGTGGGAGACCTTGAAGAAATCAATGACATGATTGTCAAACAGAAGGTATGAATACCATGAATATCTAATCACTAGTAAGTAATACCTGCATTGCTGCAGATCATTATATCACAGGCCTTGCATCTGTCTGTTTCTCCAATCTGGCAGACTATACATTTGCTTTCTTCAAAGCTCAGATCTGCTAACAGCACAGTTACCTTGCAGATTTTTCATTACTCACAAATGCCAAGCCTTACATAAATATCTCTTAATTTCCTTTTCTTATTGCCATGTATATTATTGACTTTCAGGTTCAGTTTCAGAATTTGTCAAAGCTTTGAAGAAACAAGTAGGATGAGAAGCACAGCACCTGAAACATCATGATTTTTTTGTTGTTTTTTTAATTCAAGTCATAATTTCTTTATATGAAGCTAAATAAAATTGCACTGGCCACCCTCCCCAGAAAAAGACCCACAGGGACTGTTCTCTGTGGCAGTCTTGAACAGTATATTTTCCCTTACACGACTGATTGAAATGGAACTGATGTTTGACCCAGTTTACAGTGTGTTGTTTCTTTTGTGAACAATGATCAATATTGTCAGATGCTTGTATTTTACATGGTACATTCCACTTTACAGATAATACGGTGTAAATGAGAAGATATATATCTAGGGGAGACGTGTTCGGTATCTGCTGCTCTTATTGCTTTTGTTGTAGCCTTGCATAATAAAGCTCTTCCTTTCTCAGGAATGAGACCCATGTACAGTACCAAGCCAGCCCACAGTAATAACAGTAGGGCTCTTGGATGTCTCCATGTTTTCTTTTCTCAGTTTAAAACTGCAAAAAAGTCTTGAGAGAGTGTGGCACATAAAATGAGAAATGAAAATGTGTGCTCTCCGGGGCAGCTGGGCAGGGATGAGGCCTGATAATTCAATGGGGTTTTGTGCACTTGCTCATCAGGACAAAGTGATGGGCACCAGCCTGGTCTCATTGATGTGAAGAGGAGTGTTAAAGACATCATTAGCCTTCAGGTGAACTTTGCCTAAGTGCAGTATTGATGAAACACCTTCCTGGGATGGAGCTGAGAGGGAGAGGGGGGGGGGGCTCTTCTCAAAACATGGAGAATGAAAAGACATTTGTTAAACAGGTCAGCCCAGCAATTTAGTTCTAAAGAAATTGAATGGTGCCACACTGCCAGCTGTACTTATTGGTCAGATCGGGAGGTTAAATATAAGATGAGGACAAGCTTATTATTTGTTTTGTAAACAAGAAGTGGCTAGTACAGGACCACTCGTGCTGGCTCGTGGTTGTTCACTAAATTAAGTGTAAAATGTAATGGTGGTTAAGCTGTACTTTTGAGAGAGTTTTGGAGTTTAACATTTTTCATCCTACGACTACTTCAGTTTAGCATCTGCGTCCTTTTAGATATGTTGTTAATGATTGTGTTGTTTTGTACTTTTTTCCAGTTTTATTGTTAATGTAGTAGTAGCATATATTCACGGGCCCCAACTAGCTCTGTTGGTAGAACGTGAGACTCATAATCTCAGGGTAGTGGGTTCGTGGAGTTGAGAAACCGCTGACAATCTGAAGATTTGAATATGAGGATTTGCAGACAGTTTATCTGGATGTTGTAGTACCACCTACCAGATAAGGTCCATCAAATAAGATAATAAAGCAGAACACATTGTTTAATGTAGCTGAGCTTAAGTGCTTCTCAAGAAAAAAAAACATGTAATTCAGACTATATATATATAATATATCCTATATGTATTTATAATGTATTGAGCTTATGCGTGAGTTAAGGTACAGATTTCCAATTTTTTAAACTACCAGAGATTACAAAACTATGGGTGCTGCCATTCAATAGTGGATGATATGAGTCAACATCTGAATGTGAAGTGTTTTTATAAGTATACATACCATTAAGCATTATATACAGAATATTTAAAGCACTATATCAATTTAAAGAATCATAATATTTAACTATTATTACATCAGTAAGAGGGTATGCAGAGTGATCATTTAAAGATGTTTTTTAGCCAAACTATAGAAACCCTATGTAAATTATCACAGAGTGTGAAGTTTAATTCATTTGGCATAATGTTTTTTATTATTTGAAATATCAGGAGAGCCGATTACAGAGATAGACAGTAGAGCAATGAAATGGAACAGGTCTTGCTGTGACATTTAGATAAGTTAAGGCAAGCAAGATGCCGGGGCTATAGGCAATATTTTGTTTTTATTTAAAAGGGAATTGTGGCAGATCTCGATGTTAGCAAACATGTCCTTTTTTATTAAACTCCGATCTATTGGAGAGGCCACTGCATTAACAATAATGTCATACTGAGAAAAGCTAGGAGTTGCAATATTAGACTTGTTTTTCAGTAAATGACTTCTTGAACAAGAAAATTTGTCACAAGCAATTTCATCCCTCTGCCTGTTGGGTTAGGCATTCAGAGCTTCTCATGATGACATTTTTTTAAACATGTACTGTTATGAGAATTTTTTACTTTCTAAAATGGACTTGCCCCATTCTTTCTGTTTTATTATTTTGTTTATTAAAAGTAGATAATTTTCCCCACTAGAAGGTGGCTTGGTGACATAAATTGGTCTTGAAAAACATTTCAGTCATTTGGCTAATATTGCATATTTTCATTCTTTTTTTCTTCATTTTCATTTGAAGAAGAAAAGATCAATTTGAAAATTAATTTCAAAAGCCACTGACAATATAACATTTTCAGTGTATGCTAGTGCTTTACAAGAACAAATGGCTTCAAGCTCTGTGAGCTAATTTTATGAAGCATTTGCTCTTGATCAAGACTCTTAAGTCTGATTTCGATTTGTTCCTTCATTTTATTAAAAAAGAAGTCCAGTGGCATTTGCTGTCAGACTTAATTCTGAATTATTTGAATAAAAGAGTACGAGGGAGTGAAGCCTGAAACAAGTCTGGAACATCCAATTATACAGTGGCACTTTTCTGTACAATACGAAAAGCACATTAGCATCACTAACAGAAATCATCCAGAAGTATAAGAAATTACAAATTAGGCCTCACAACATCGAAGAAGCTGAGAGAAGGAAAAATGGAAGATAAAACCAGACAAGACTGTTCACTCAGAAGCAACCAAGAGTTGCACAGCTATAGGGGCGAGATGTAATCACTGAAAGAGGAGATGAAAGAAACAATTCAAGTGAAGCCAAGAAGCAGAATCCAGAACAATCAACAAGCTTAATTTATTTCATTGAAGGTATTTTATTTTTTTAAGTAAATTAACTAAAAGCCAATTAAAAAAAATAGACTTTAAAACTATATCATCTTTATATCTGACTTCTTTTCAAAGGTAGCAGTTTAAAAGGTTTTCTTGTTTTCAACAGCAGTTTACATCATCATAATTGTCACAATATCTGTGAGGTACCGTTTCTCTTTAAAGTTCAAAAGAATGTTTTTCAATAGGAGGGCCCATACTGTAGCTGTAACTTGTGAATCTTTCCATATTTAACACGTTGTGAAGTAAACATGAAGATGTGGGTGGAATGGCGGGACCAGTTGCAGCCGCGAGGATGGTGACGCGTACCCAAGCACAAGAGACCGGAGAGTGGCGGAAACCCGACTGATTGAGGCCTAGGATGCCCGGGAGAAAGGCAATGTGAAAACAGACAGGCGATAATAATAATAATAATCATAATAATAATAAACTTTATTTTATATAGCGCCTTTAAAGGTGGCTTCTCAAAGCGCTTTACAGGATGACAATAACAATAAATAAAAAGACTACAACAATAAATAAGAAGAATTCACAAGATAAGACACAATTACAATTACAACAATACAACAATAACAATAGAGAAGACCGTGGAAGGTGGTACTAAGAAGAGCAGAGGGGTGAAGAATGGAACCAGTTAAGTAAAGGCTTTTCTGAAGAAGAAGGTTTTGAGTTGGATTTGAAGGGGTTTAGAGAAGGTGACTCTCTGATATCCTTGGGCAAAAAGTTCCGGAGCTTGGGAGCATAGATAATGGAATATTTAATATCCAGCCGGCAGAGCAAGCAAGGCCCCAGCCGGTCAGCCAGAAAGTCTGAATCTAGTGGAGCAGAACGGTCCGGGAGATGTCTGGATCCCTGGCAGCCAAAGAGAGAGGCAAAGTGGCAGCCCCAAAGAAGACTGCTCATCCCTGACCACCGACTGGAAGCTGGGACTCTCGGCTCTGGTACGGAGCCGGCTACGAAGCCCCCAGAAGGAAAGGGGGCCACAGAAATCTGGTAGGCAGCCCTCCACTTAGCCAGGGGTGCAGGCCGGCAAACCCACCAGCCGATGCGCGGGAGAGGAAAACAAGTCTCCTCATGGCGCAGGTGTGCTTTGCCCCAGGGGCTTACTGAAAGCAGGGATCTCACCGAAACCAGGCCAAGCATGCGCCGTCATCTTGCTCTGCCGGGTATCATTCTTTAACTGAGGCTCCTGGGTGTGAACAGAATCAGATGCCCAGGCATCCTCTGGACCCACTGGGGGAGACATCTGCGAAGGATGAGAGGCAAGGACCTGTCCTGAATGCCTCTCAGCTCTCAGAGCCCCGGGTGTGGGAACGGTCCCAGTCAGAACCCAGGAACAAGAATCCTCAGAGAGGCCAAGCTAACAGAGCTGCTTGAGAGACAGGAAGGTGAGAAATAGACAGGGGCCCGAACCAAGAGAGGAAGCCGCCCCAAGGAGGAGCCAGGAGTGCAGCCGAAAAGAGAACAGAGAAAAGAAAATGTGTAAGGGACAGAATTGAACTTAACAAGGCTAGGCTTTGGGTAAGGAGGTGAGGGGCTGCACGGACAGAGCCCTGGGGCGCTGGACAATGGGAGCTGCCTCCTGGATGTGGGACAGAACCGTGGGGAAGAGAGGCCAACAGAGAAAAAGTTCAGGGAATCCAGGTCACCATGGAGTCAACTACAGAGGAAGCAGTGCTGTGAGTGAAGTCCTGCAACCAGACTAATCTGGATCGAAGTCTGAACAGACTACTTCAGCAGCAAGAGGTGGGGGTGGTCAGCGTCCAGCCTGAGGATCTCAACCCTGGGGAATCAGCCCAT